GATGCGGCAGAATGCTTGGGCCAGCGACGGGACTGGAGGTGCACCGAGGCTGCTTAGTAGGGGTCACCGGGTAGTGTCGCTTCAGTTCGATCATTCGCGTCTTTGACAGTGGCAGGTGCACTCCGCTCGGGGCCCAGACCTGCACGGGGGCTTCTGTCGCTGACGATGCGAGGACGCATGCAATTGGGGAATTCATTTTTGGCCTTGATGAGTAGTATTTTGTAGTTGCTTCCTTGTAAGGAAACTAGTTCGTCCTTGCGGGGGACTTGTGCACACGAATGGACATGGAAAACTGCATGAGTTTCGCTGAGAGTTTGACGCTAGCTAAAGTGACGTTGAATGGTGGAAACAATAGCGCGCGCACCACACGTACTCATATGAGACAAAATCACGAAAATGAGGGAGCATAAGATCAAGAAGCGATATTCAATGAATGCACCAGGGAAGCGTGTAAAACACGGAAAGCGACCAGAAGATGCTGTAACCCCATCTTCTGTCATCTTCTCGCTGTGGTCCTTGGCCACAGGACCAGAACACCTCTTCATGCGCAGTCACACTGTTGTGCCGCGATCGTGACGTCGCTTGGTCAGCTTGACGCATTGTACACGAGCCGTTTGCGCATTCCCCAGTACGTCCACGCGCTAGAGGAAAGGAAATGCCAACGTCGGGTCAACCTTGGACAAAATTACAAGCCGTGCAACGATTGAATCGTTGGAATTGACAGCCACTCGCCCACCGAGCAACGTTTTCGCCGATTCTTTCATCCCAGCGTGGGGTTGGTTCCGACAAACACGACTGTCTTGACGAGATTTTCTCGAGCGCACCGACCTACCCCATTGGAAGGAGCAAGAGCATACCGGCACCGGCACCTGCATTACCCCATCACGTCCCCGACGCTCCCAAGTCGACCATGGTCGGCATGGCGCACGCGATGTGCGGCACGTCGTCCTTTTGTCGCGCGCTGCTGCCACATTTCTAATATTAGAATGCACCGAAAGAAGTCTCAGAACAACGGCGCCAACGACGACGGCGACGCGGCGCCGCCGACGTCGAATGTTTTGCGCATCAAAGTGATCTCGATGGGGGACGGCGGCGTCGGCAAGAGCTGCGTCATCAAGCGGTACTGCGAAGGTAGTTGCGGCACCTGGACATGTCCCGGAACTGGTTCCAACCCCACGCGTAGAAAAGTTTGTCAGCAAGTACATCTCGACGATCGGCATCGACTACGGTGTCAAACCCGTCAAGGTCAACGGGTCGGAAGTCCGCGTCAACTTTTGGGACCTGTCTGGCCAACCCGAATTTCTCGAAGTCCGCAACGAGTTCTACAAGGACACCCAGGTCGCGGCATCGGGTCTTGTCGATCTCACGTGTGTGCTTGCATGCAGGGCGCGATCTTAATGTTTGACGTGTCGTCGCGGCGCAGCTTTGAAGCGCTGGACGGATGGCTCAAAGAAGCTGCCAAGTACGGCGGCGGCAAGTTTCCGTGCGTGGTTTGCGCGAACAAAGTCGACAAACTGCGCCTAGTCAAGGAAGACGAAGGGGCGGCATGGGCCGCGGCCAAAGGGTACGAGTACTTTGAGACGTCCGCGCAGACTGGAGCGAACGTTGCCGAAGCGCTGCACCACCTCTTCCAGCTCGTTGTGAACCGACTGAAGTAAATCGAGTTAAAAATCATGTCCACTCGGTGGCCACCCATGGCGCCGTGGCGTTGTGGGGCTTTGGCTCGAGGGGAAAACACACGAGGCGCGCATGAGGCGGCACCTGCGCTTGACAAGCTTGTGCGTACTCGACGATCTGGCCTGGGTACACGTCCTACGCACCGTCCGTCACCGAATGCGCGGTGGCTGCCATCATACCTGGAGAATCTCGTAGCCGTCCAGCACCATCTATGGCCGCCGCCACGACGACGACGACTTTAGAAATCCCCGACACATGATCCAGGACGAACCTCGAGCCAGTGGTCAAATTTGTAGATGCAAGTCGCGACGGCGGCGAAATGCGCCGACAGAAACGCGTAAATGGTTTGAGTTGCCGTGTCGGCGTGCCATGCCATAACGCTGCTGTTGATGCCGCCGATGCGGCGCTCGTTCTCCATGTCGTCGGTCTTGAGCGTTCCAAACCACCCCGAGTACTGCATCGACGAGACACGTTAGGAAGGGGGAACGAGAGGGCTCGTGGTCACACCAGGGCCAAGTCGTCGAGGGAGCCCACGAGCACGGAGTCCAGGTCCAAATACAACATGCGACCAGTCCATCCAAACGCGGGCGAAAACACTTGCGCCTTGTTCCACCAGCCGACCCATCCTGGCGCCAACAGCCGCACGTCAATCTCTACAAAGCGGTGAAATGGTCGATTGCATGGATGCGTCATACCTGGCGCGAGGCCGACGGCATTGTCTGTGAGGCAGCAAAACGTATACCGAACACTTTTCAAGTGCCTCGCGACGCCGCGGTGCAGCTTGTTCACGTACTCGGCGCCGTACTTGACGCCCCACTTGACGCAAACTACAGTTAAATGCGTCATGGACGATCGATACGATTCCTCGGGCTGGGAATCTTGTGGACGGCGTAGCGATGGCCTGGACGTCCCAACGGGCAACGACGAAAGAATTCGATGCCAGCACAGGTCCACCGCGCGATCTTGTTGCCCCAATGCGCGGTATATCGTGTTCAGATTGTAGTACGCGTGCGTGTTGTCGGGGTCTTGATGGAGTGCCGTCGTGGCATGGCGCAATGCGTCGTGCAAGTTGCCATGGGCGTAGAGTTGTGCAGCGAGGTTCACGTGTGCATCGGGAAAGTGCGGTTGAATGGCAATGGCTTGACGAAAGTGGTCGATTGCCACGTCGAGAGGGCGACCCACGGACGCTCCTTTGGCGAACACGATCGCACTGGCCAGGTTGAAGTGGGCGGCCGCGTAGCGTGGGGCGTGGTCAAGAGCTTGCTCGAAGTGACGAATCGCTTCTGCATACTTGTGGGACGCGCTCAGGAGACTCCCCAAGCGGTTGTGCCACTTCGCGTCGGCACCGACCTCGATCGGCACCAACGTCATCGCGGCGCGAGAGATCCATATATTTTCAGCCAATCACAGACGAGAGGGGTTTCGATATGAATTTCGACGAGTTGCAAAAGTGAGGTGGGGAAGCCATGTCGGACGACGAAGGAGGACGCGGGACGCGGTCGCGATCGCGCAGCAAGTCGCATGACGACGGCGCGAGCAACGGTGGGAACTCGCTGTACGCGGCGGGTCTCCCGATCCGGGTACGGGAAGCACGTGTTTTCGGACGGACGCGGTGATCTTGAACGGGGCGTGCGTAGTTGAACAAGGCCGAGTTCGAAGAGCTCTTCGCCAAGTACGGCCGCCTCGCGAGCTGTGACTTGATCGAAGACCCCATCACACACGAATCCAGGTAATGCATGACTACACCCGACGGCTTGCTTACGACCAACCTTCTGGTGACGTAGAGGCTTTGGGTTCGTTGTCTACGAAGACAAGCGTGACGCGGAAGACGCTCTCAACGCGTTGAACGAGTACGAAGTGGCATTGCATTGCGTATGCGTATCTGACGTGTTTTTCTTGCGTTTCCAGCAAAGAAGTGTATGGGAAGAGAATTCGCGTGGAGAAATCCAAACGTTCCAAGCCGCATGCAAAGTCGCCTGGTCAATGTAAGGACGATTCTCGTGCTAATTCCAGTCGCGCTGACCGAACGCCGCCGTGGTATACACAGACCTCGGCCCACCGAGTGCAAGTGCCACTTTTAGGGCCCGACAAAGGGATCGCTCGAGGGACCGCCCTCGCGACCGGTCACGAGACCGCCGATCGCCTCCTCGGCATCGTTCGCGGGACCGTCGCGATCGATCTCCGCCACCGCGCAATCGTTCGCGCGACCGCCGCGAGCGTTCTCGTGACCGAGACGATCGCCGCGACGACCGACAAAGAGACCGATCCCGCGACCGTCGTCGCTAAAGATTGCTCTTCCATTGCATTCACATCGGTAATTCAACCAAGGACGGAGACATAGCATTTCCATTATGCGTTTTTGCTCGCGGCCACTTTGTTCCACCGCAGGACCGTGTTGCGCATGCGTGCAGACTTCGGTGAAGTAGGTGGTGCAGCGGCCACAGAGCACACTGTTACGGAGATTTGTGGGCCTTGCGGCTGTAGACGAGCATGTGGGTGTCGGGAACGGGACTGTCCGCATCCAGCGACACGGTCGCGTGGGCAAACGCTTGGTCGAGGGAGAACTTCCATGCCGCCAAGGACTCGGCCAACGCCGCCGCGCTGGAGCTGTACATGACAACGTACGTAGGCAGGGGGGTCGCCGCGTATCGTGCAGTTGCGAACGCGAGAGGGTCTTGGCGCAGTGCATCGGATGGCGACCCGACTTCGCGTTCGCTGCAGACCCAAGTAAGACGGATCCACCAAACAGCACGTACGATGGGGTGCACGTGGGGAACCAGAGCGGGATGTTGAGATGGAGATGGCTGTACAAGGGCGTGGCGTGGCAGGGCAGGAGAAAGTCGATCGAGTCGGTGGGGCCGACGTGGGCGGCCAAGTAGTCGAGCACGTCCAACGGACCTCGCTGCCCATCGAGTTGACGTGTGAGGACCATGTCGACCAACATGGCGAGGTACCTGGTGGAAGCGGGAGAAGTAGACAGCGGCCGCGCCATTCGCGGCCACGAGGAGGCTCACAACCGGCTTGAAGAACGTTCGTGTCTCGAGGGAGTGCAGCGCCTTGCCTGCATACACAAAGGACGCAGGTAGCAGTGGGAAGAGGAAACGTGGTTCTAAAACCGAGGGAATCGTGTGACTGCTCGCTCGACAAAGCAAATATACCCTTATGAGCACCGAAGCTGAACACGCACAAACTCCACAGCACGACGGCGGCCAGGTCGCGTTGCTGGAGTCGAGCGAGGCATGTGAGTCCAGCAGAGGGTCGCCGCAGGAGACGAAGCATGTACCTGGGTGAGGAACACGCCATACAGAATGAGAGGCAAGTGGGTCGCTGTGGCCTGTGGGAACCCCGCGACGAAGTACCAGTGCCAAGGATGCACTCCGTACAGCTTGTCCTTGCCCTGTGCGGTCGACTGACGACATGGAAAGGATGGAATGGCCAGTTGTACCTCCAACACGTTGAATTTCATGAAGTTGAACGGAACAAATGTCCATTCGCCGTAGCCAATGCGGTCCACGACGGCCATCGCGGCAATCGACACAACCCCGATGGGCATGAAGGTCGACAGGATCAAGGACACTGGAGACGTGGAACGAACGAGGAGAGACGATGCCAGAAAGACCCACAACACTGCATTCGTCGGCCGGAAAATGCATCCAAGTGCTGCGAACGCAACAGCAATCCGAAGGTGGCGGCGCTCCGTCGTCGATTCGCCCGATTCGCGCTTGGCCTGCCCGCTCTAATGAAACAAAAAGTAAACGATGGGGAACGACAACGGGATGGACCATAAAGTGCCACGGCCAATAGCTGAGCGCGATTGTCGTGCAGCATGCTTCGATCGAGTTGGAGAACGTGCGGCTCAGAGCGAAGAAGACAAACCATGACGAGATCTGGCAGAGCAACGCGTACTTCGCTGTCGAGGCGTCGAAGTATGTGCGTGCCAACTTGTACAGGAAAATGTCCGTGATGGCTGTGAAGACGCCCTGTAGAAGCAAGTGAGATGGGAAAGATAGGTGGTGCCTGCCTCGAGGATGCGGGGCCCGTACGCCACCGCCCATCGCGAGTCGAGGCCCTAACCAAGGTTCAGCACGTTGCGGTGCGAGAAAGGACAGACTACTACGAACCAGCAGCTGTAGACTCTTATACAGCAGAGCAAATATGGCGGGGTGTGCATACCCTCGCAACTGGGCATGTGGCTGCCACTCCCACGTCCTACAAAGAGCCATGAGGGAAGATGCAAACCCGAGGGACCGGCGACGATCGACGTACAGATAGCCATAGCCAAACACCATGTGATGAGCTACTTCCGAGCTCTGCCAGAATTCATCGGGGTTGAAGTACGTCCTCACGAACAGCGCATTGAACACGCGAAACACCACGAGGCATGCCGCGAGCGTCCACATGGCCATGTCGCCGGCGTCCAAAGTTGCCGCGCCTTGAGTCACTGGAATGTATGCATTTGATTGGTCCATTTCTTCAAAGCATGGATATTGATTGGGTAAAAAGGAAGGAGGGGCAGCGATTGAATTGAATAAAATTTCAATTTATACCGATTCAATAAAGCAAATACAATGTCCACCCTCCTCTGGGTATTAAGTACCAAAGGTTCTTCGGCCTGCAGAAACCGATGCACCATTCCTTGGCATGAAGAAGTGCACGAATTGAACGATGACGGTCGAAGCCGTCGAGAAGGTGGCGCTTCTGGAAGACGGTGCAAGCATCAAGGAAAGCGTCCGGCGGCACCGGTGGTTCATCGGTGTGCTGTGTGTCGTGGTCGTGGCCATAATCTGGACGTTTGCCAGTGTGCTTGTGCAATACGTGTTTCACGACCTAGGGTTTTCCAAACCATTCTTCCTCACGTACATTGCGAACTCGCTGTTTGCGGTGAACCTGCCGCTGTATTGCATCGGGACCAAGATCGGGTACATCAAAACCGAAACTCACGTGGGTGTGCGCGATACACTGCGGGTCAGCGCGATTGTCGCTCCATTATGGTTTGTCGCCAACTGCGCATACAACTTCAGCCTGAACATGACAAGGTGTGGCCCCTAGTCGTGATATGGCGAGTCTCATTGCTCTGTAGCGTTACGAGCAGCACAATCATCAGCTCCACTTCGTCCATGTTCACCTTTGCCTTGAGTGTGTTTTTCCTTGGCGAGAAGTTCGCTTGGTTCAAGGTACCGCTCAACGGATGCTTTCGTCTCACATAGTGATGCAGTTTGCGGGAGTTGCCTTTTGCATGGCGGGAAACATCTTCACGGTCTTGCAAGATGGCTCGTCCGGCGCAGCCGACTCGTTCACGGGCGACACGGTCGCACTCGTTTCTGCCTTTATGTACGCTGTCTACACGTCCACGATGCGCAAGTACATTCCAGACGACTCCAGCATGAGCCTTTCTCTCTTCTTTGGGCTCCTTGGTCTGCTCAACTTTGTCTGTTTGTTGCCTGTGGTGCTTGCTCTGCACTTCTCCAATGTCGAATCGTTGCAGGAGCTGACCGTGGAGATCCTTGGACTCTTGACCGTCAAGGGTCTCTTCGACAACGTGCTGTCCGATTACCTGTGGGCGCTTGCCATGTTGTACACAACACCGACCGTCGCGACCATCGGGTTGTCGTTGACCGTACGTCACAATGGACTTTCGCTGTCTCTAAACGTCGTGGTGGTGCAGGTGCCATTCGCCATCTTCTCGGATCTCATCTTTCATGGGGTTTCTCCTACGGCGGTGGTCATCTTTGCGTCCATCTTTGTCATCACGGGTTTCGTCCTTATCAATGTCGGTAGTCGCGACGATGTTGCGCGTCCGCGACGGAAGGCTCTGGATTAATGCATTTGGTTGTAATAAATGTTTTTAAACCAATCAAATCCATGTAATTGTCATGATTTTATCCAATCAGACGGGAGTGGAGGGAGGAGGTCTGTGAGGTTTAGAACTCCATTGCGAAGATCTCAAAGCAAAGAGTACGTGGACGACGTATGCCGGTCCATGCACGTGCCGTGACTCATGCGTCCTGTTTTTGTAGATGAGCAGCACAGGTGCAGGGGTAAGACACGGTTACCGCATTGTCTCCTCCCATGAGCCTCCTCGCTGTCTAGTACGATTTGTCGGCGGGCACGTTCTCGCCGGATGGCCGCATCTTTCAAGTCGAGTACGCCAAGAAGGCCGTCGAGAACAGCGGGTATGCGCATGCCTTCGTCCTTGGATACGCTGCTGATGACTGCTTGAAGGACTGCCATTGGCATTAACTGCAAAGACGGTGTCGTCATGGGCGTTGAAAAGATTCTTCTCTCCAAGTTGCTCGTGCCCGGGACGCACCGCCGCATTCATGCCATCGATCGCCACGTTGGCTTGGTACGACGCAAAGGATATTTTCGTGTTCACTCATTCAAAACTAGGCCATTTCCGGCTTGGTCGCGGACGGTCGTCAGCTGGTCAACCGCGCTCGTGAAGAAGCTGCTTCGTACAAGAAAAACTACGGAAGTCCGATTCCTCCTCAGATGTTGGCGGATCGCATGAGTCAATACGTGCATTACTACACGCTGTACGGATCTGTGCGTCCCTTTGGCACATCCATCATGCTTGCCGGGCGCGACGTGGACACGGGCAAGACGTTTCTGAATGTGATCGAACCATCGGGCGTGTCGTACCGATTCCGTGGCGCGGCCATGGGGAAAGGCGAGCAAGCGGCCAAGACTGAGATTGAAAAGTACAAACTCTTTGACCTGACCTGTCGCGAAGCTATCAAATACATCGCCAAAATGTAAGTCGCCCTCCCCATTGTTGCCGATGCCTGACTCGCTGTCTAGTTTGAATGTCCTGCACGACGAAGTCAAGCACCCATTCGAACTCGAACTGAGCTGGCTGTGCGAAGAATCCAACTGGCAGCATCAGCTCGTGCCGGCTAACATCCGAGATGACGCCACCGCGTGGGCCCTTCAGTCGATTCAAGACGATGACATGGCCGATGACGACGACGACGCGTAGTTGGAGCATCCATGTCGGGAAAGCGCCAAATAACACGTCGCACTCATCCTTCGTTCGATTACAGCGAGACATGATGGTTGTAAGGTTGATGGTTTTGCTGGTTGGTGCGCCGTGACGACTCGACGGGCTCCGCGCACATTTGGCATGGCAGCGACTGCCAGTGCACAGCGCCGTGCACAACTGCGAACCCCACGCTCAGGTCGGCACAGTACTGATCTGTGAGATCTTCCCACTCGGCGGCAGTCACAATTTCGTACAGCGGGTGCCTGTCAAAGACGTGTTGTCATGTCGGCTCCCGAAGGATCATGCACGGTTGTCGAGTACGTACTTCGTCGAGAGTCCAGGAATGGAACCATTTGGAGGAGTGAGCGACGTCGTTACCCCTGACAAGAACAGATCAACCGACGTGGGCACCACTGGCCGCTTGTGCCGTGCGCAGAGCAGGCCGCCGTTCACTATCGGACCAGGGGGCTTGGGGTGGTTGGATTTTGCGAATGCTCTCCATGCTTTGGACCATTTCAGTGGCACGAGGTAGAATGTGGTAGTCTCGGGACTGAAGAGAGCTGGAGGATAGTGCTGTTTTCGGTGGAGCAGGTCGAGAAGGGTCGAAGTCGAGGCGTGGGTCAAGAGCCGTTCGGTCTTTTGGACGTTGGCTGCGTCGGCGTCTGCTTCGGCGGTGGCAACGCACCGGTTGCATTCGATGGCGCTGAGCCCGAGACCGTAGACGGGTCGGGGGAAGTACGGAAACAGTTTCTTCCATTGCGAGAGCGGAAGCACCATGCGCTTCCCATGACCATTCGAAAGGGAAAGGGGACGTAGTCTCGAGTGGGCACACGTCAGACTGTCCGACATGTCTGGGATGTCGCGCTCGACAACCGTATCGAGTGCGCTCAGCACTTTGACAGTGGACTTTGGGTTTTGTACCATGGACTTGTACGCCTTCGGTCCTTGTTTCAAGAGCTTGTCGGCCTTCACACATTGCTTTTTGCACCCGAGGACGAAAGACTTGGCCAGCAACACCACAGCCGCAGACGTCGTAGCTTCGGCAGGGTCATTAGACAGCGGCATAGCATAGAGCAAGATCGATTTGATGTACTGGAGCTCTACGCATCGGAGCCACATGAGCGTGGGTGGACGACGAAGCTTGGGCCAAGTCGGCTCTGGCGACTGTGCAAGGAATGCCAAGGACGGTGATTCCTTCAACAAGATTAACGCCAGTGCAGCGACATGCCCATGCAGCTCCTTGGAGCACAGGCTGAGCCACACGAGCTCTGTCGTCGTCAGGTACCTGCCCACCTCAATCCAAGCCACGCGCATGTTGCTGGCCAACCTGAACAACAACCTCGTTGGCGGCAAGGATTTTGATTGCATCTTGGCTGCGTTCCCTCGTTTTAATGACATACGACAATGTCATGCTGAATTTTCACTGGATGACAGCAACCATTCCTGCTATTCTCGCCTACAACTCCACACTCCTTCAGGAACTTCACTCACATTCCACGTGTATGTAGCCATACTCTTTCAAGTTCAATACGTGAGTGAAGGTATTGATCTCACTGCGGTGCCGTCGAGGTTTAGAAGGGTGACAGCGCGACACGTCGAATGCTCAATCGTTCTTATTGTGTACTTCGAAGTGATAAAATACATTGAATGGCCATAAATATTTGTGATTTTGGCAAAATAATCCATCGGGCTGTGATATTTTCTGAATCGTACTTAAAAGAGTGCAATATGGAGTTCTGTTGGCGCAGCAGCATTGGGCTGGACCGACGGCATGGGGAAAAAGAAGGGCAACAAGAGCGGCGGGCACGACGAACCCCCGACGGACGTCTCCCGTTCCAAGAAGAAACGTAACAAGAAGGTCCAGGCAAGCAAGGAGCAGCATTTTGAGCTGAAGAAGAAGAAGAAGGAGAAACTCGACAAGTTGAGGCTCCAAGAACATCCCAAGCGCCGCCGACACAAGCCTGTTGGCAAAAATGTCGACGAACCCGTGGACATCCACCACCCGTCTCCTGACGTTGACAGCGATAGCGACGTGGCCTCGACTGAATCCACGTACATCTCCATCAAGGAATCGTCCACTGACGACAATCCCACAAAAGTGTCCAGGACGACGCTGATCCGTTCTGTCTCTGAGGATGACACCCCGTGGATGAAGCCTGGCCATCGATACCGACTTCCGAACGTGTTTCTTTGTCTACACGACGAAATCCTGGACTTTGTTACGTTCTTGAGTCCGACGCCAGAAGAAGTGAAGGCACGGAAAGCACTAGTCAAGACCATGCAGGACCTGGTTGCATCGTTGTGGGACGGTGCTTCGTTGAGCGCGTTCGGGTCTTTGTTTACCGAGATGTACCTTCCATCAAGCGACATCGACATGGTGGTGCTAGACGGGCCGAGTGGAAAGGAACCTCTGTACACGCTGGCGCAGCGGCTGGAAGACCTCGGGATCGTGTCGTTCTTAGAGGTTGTTGACTCGGCGCGCATTCCGATCGTCAAGTTCGTGCACACCGAGTCGGGCCTGAGCGTCGATGTGTCGTTTGGGGTCACGAGTGGGTTTGCGACCGGTGACCTAGTCAAGGGATACCAGGAGAAGTTTCCAGCATTTCGGCCGCTTACGCTTGTCCTCAAGTACTTTTTGCAGCAACGCGGGCTCAACGAAACGTTCAAGGGCGGAGTCGGGTCCTTTCTGCTCCAGCTCATGGTCGTCAGCTTCCTCCAGCACAAGAATCGGAACAGCTCGTATTCAAACTCAATGCAAGACCTGGGCCACCTCCTTGTCGACTTTTTCGACTTGTACGGCAATGTGTTCAACTCGACGGACCTGACGATTTCGGTGCGGGATGGCGGAGCGTACGTGATGAAAGAGTCCAGGAACTGGAAAAACTATCAGCGACCAGACTTGCTTTCGATGGAGAACCCGCACGACACGAATCACGACGTCGGGGCCAACTCGTATGAAGTGCGACGAGTGTTCAAAGTGTTTTCCCACGCGGCCAAGGTCCTCAAAGCAGAGATTTGCCATCGAGGGTCGGTCGACATGCACCACGACGATTATGGGACGAGTATCTTGGAAAGAATCATTGCCAAAGATGTGCTGCTCCAGGATCGCGTCGGCCCAGACACGTTTGGCTTTGCCATGCGTAAACCCGACATGGAAGCACTTCGACATCAGGGAAAACTCCATCGGCGGCATTAATTGTAATGGACATTGCCCCTTGCAGCCGGCGTGCTCTCGATGGACCAGATGCGCTGGATGCCATGGACTGAAAAGCACGCTATCTCGATCTTGCGACGTCGAGATCGTTGACGAGATATTGCTCCAACGCAGAAACTATTGGCAGCATCAAACGCATGGTACCATTATGTAGCGACTTATTCTTCAAGTTCAAAACGGGTGGGTGCCCCACTCTGTCCACAAAATTGGTTTACATGTTTTTGGCAGAGTCACTTGGGGCCGCCAACTTGGTCACTTTGGCCACCACGGGGACGACATATCCGACCATACCAAGCGTCGCGGGGTAAAACACCGAAGATAGAGTCACGGCAGCGGCCCACGTCCCGATAGCCGACCCAACGTCGCCCATGCCATATTGGTTAAGAATTGGGAGGATGTCGACGCCTTGGAGTAGCGCCATGTAGATGGATGTGACCACGGTAAGGCCCATGAACCGCGCTCCGATCATGTAGCACGCGCCGTACTTGTCCATTACAGTCGTGACGCCGGACAAACCCTTCTGCAAGATAGACGGAGCTGCCGCGGCACCGGAAGCTGGGAGCCTACTCGTAAGTTGGGAACAACTTGATGATTGTGGTAATGGGATCGATCTTACGAGGGAATGAGGGACGATACTTTGACTTTAGTCAACTCAGGGAACATCTTCGAGATGCAAGCCGCCGCAGCGACGTCCAACGGCATGCGGAGCCGGCGCAATGGACGACTGCACGCAAATGCAAGGGCGAATTCAGGCGAGATCGTCACTCCTACGGGTCCTTGTGAGGTTTAGGTGGCATCGTCAAAAGCACCTGAGAGCTGGAGTAACCCGTACGTTCCAAACACGGACGCCATGTCCGAAGCAATCATGACACCAAGCGTGAGTGTCGTGTGGTTTTTGAGCGCAGCGTTGAAGTGGTCGACGGCATCTTGGAGAAGCGACGAGCGGTTGCGATCTTCTTGCGGCGAGAACGACGACGGAGGTGGCTGGAATGTCGAACAAACAGGGCGAGAGGCAGAGCTGAAGATCCTTTGCGATGTGCGGGAGGCCATGGTGTGGCGCATGACCGCCGGCCGAACCAACTTACGGGACAACATGGCTCCAGAGGCACCACCAACGAACTGCGAATGTCATTGTGCGTAGCATGCAATGCGACAGAGTTGATTGGTCAAAATTGATGGTATAATCCCGCGGGGGTTTCGGGGTTGCATACTACGGAGCGCGCTCACCTGTCTCGATGGCGCAGCACAGCTCCTTTGAACGCGCCTGACCAAGCATGGACCCTGCCATGCTACTGGCACGCACAAAGAGGACATTCCGGCCGTGACATGCGTCCAACGAGGGGGCCAATGTGTCATATGCAGTGTATGAGTACGGTACAACTCTGGTTTTGGTGCCTACTTGCGGGCGCTTTGTAGCATACACAATGGAGCTGTTGAGGGGGCTGCCCAGGCGTGCTGCTGGAGTCCAGGTTCCTCGGTCACCGGCGGTAGCATCGCGGCATCGGCCACTTCCGTTGGCCAATGAAACGTTGCATGGAGTTGCACCGACGCAAACTTTTGGTTGGTGCAGAGTCAAACGTGGTTTAAGTGCTGCCCGTCGATTTAACGTGATTGTTGTTATAACACATGGTTGTGTATTATAATTCCTTTGTACCAACGCTTGTATGAAGTTATAATTCGTGCCCTCATCGGAGGGAAATTGTTGGTGCAGATTGGCGTGCGCGGAACTGCATTGTCGTTTTCTGACCATTCGTGACCGCGGCGCCCGTGGACGTGCGAAGGATCAAGTGATGAGTACTGCACCAACCCTAAGTATGTATGCATATGCTCACGAGGCGCAGGTGGGACAAAAACGCTCATCCTTGGTCGTGTGTGCCTGCAGGTGGAGATGCGCTGAAAGAAGCCTTGAAGAGCCAAGTCGAATTCTACTTCTCCAAGGCGAACCTCGTCAACGACACTTTCCTCGTCTCGCAGATGAACTCCCAAATGTACATCCTACAGGATCTTCGTGTGAATGCTCATGCGACGTAGGTATGTCCCCGTGGACGTGATTGTGGGCTTCTCGAAGATCAAGGCACTGACCACGGACGTTGCATTGGTTGTCGATTCCATCAAGGACTCCACGGTACAATGCACCACAGCGCTCGTGTATTCATTTGCACGGTTCAGGTTTGCTCGTTGAGCCCGGAAGGTGATGCCATCAAACCCAACATCAAGTCGGAGCGCAACACGATCATCCTTCGTGAAATTCCGTCCGCCACCGATCCCAAGGACGTCGAAGCGATCTTTGAAGGGTGCGGCACTGTCGCTAGTGTTCGCAGTGATGTCGGTGACACATGGTTCGTGACCATGGCCACGGAGGAAGATGCCGTGAACACGCTCTTGGCGCTGCGTTCCAAGACATTCCACGACGCGCCTATCAAAGCCCGCCTCAAGTCGGAGAACGTTTTGCGCTCGTTTCTGCCGGAATCCACTCCGTCCGCCAACACCACACCGTACCAACCCACGAACGGTTCAATTTACGGCAACGCGCCGTACTACAGCCAGGCAGTGCCAAATGCATTCGGTGTACAATACGCCGGCCGCACCCCCATTGCCAAGACTGTCAAAGTTGGCAAAGGCAAGAAAGGCCAATCCATCACAGGTGCTGCCGTCATGGCTGCGCCCACGACCCCAACCAACGCGACATCGAAGAAATCCAAGAAGAAGAAGGACCTCTCGGCGGCTGCGACCCCGGCGGCCGCGTCTGGTCCTAAGTCGGCAGGCAAGCACAGCGAACGCCAGCCTATCTTGAACTCGGCCAACTTCCCACCGCTCCCCCTCGTGAGCGCGAATGGAGCCGACATTACGTACAAGTACAGCCACGACGACATCATGGAGATTGTGAAGCACATGGACGACACAGACTGCGTTCTCCCCGCTGGAAAGATGGACTTTGAGACGCACGAAAGCGCGTTGACGCCCGTCGCGCACCCGGATCTGCTCAAAAACCAGCGCACGTACAGTATCGAACAGGCGCGCGAAGCATTGCGCCAAGGACGACCGATCCGCAGTGACTCGGTTGGGTCTGTTGACTACGAAAGTCTCATGTATGGCGAAGAGTACACGAAGGAAGCGCGTGAATTGCGCGCGGCCGCATCGAAGGACGACGCCAAGAAGCCCGCGGCTGCCGTGTCGGTGGGCGGGTATGCCGCGGCGTTGATCCATGGCACGCCAGTGGTGGTCTCGCCCAAGAAGGTCGCTGTCAAGGTGACCGAAGCGCCCGTTGAAGCGGAGAAGAAGGACAAGGCTGTTCTTGTCACGGAGAAAAAGACCCCGAAGAAGAAGAAGGCCATCGACACCCCTGCCGCGGCCCCAGTGGTGTTGACTGGTGCGTGGGGTGGCCGGTCGTTTGTGGACGTTGTGACCAAGCCCAAGGACGAGAAAGCTGCTGTAGGAGTAGATAAAGCGACGATTGAATAGGAAGCGCAACGGCCGGCGTGATGCATTTTTAGAGATAATTCATGGACTTTTTTTGCATTTCCCAGGATTGCACACTCTTCAAATGTCCACCTGGCCACGCTTATCCGGATGGCTGATAATGCACAAAGATGGACCCAATGAACTGGGTGGGGCAATCGGCCAGGATGGAATGCCGCCTGCTGATGGATGCGTGTGTAGAGTCATGTAAAGCTCCTGGCGTGCCATCTTCACCACGAAGTCAAGAAGAAGGAGATGTTCTTCCGCCTGAGAGGTCGGATCATCACGCGGGTGCACCTCGTGGGTTGGATCACAAGTGTTCAACCCAAGGTCGATCGAGGTGGGTGTGACGTGAAAGTCGAAGGCGCGTGCGTTCACGCGCGTCGTAGTGGAGTACACGCTTGATGACGGAAGCGGAGAAGTGAATTTGGTCAAATGGGATGGAGCGCACACGAACGTGCTTGCATTGGGTGATTTGGTGCGCATTCAGGGCAAGCTCAAGCACTCGAACTGGTCCGAATTGGTCGAAGTCACGATCTCCAAAGCAACGACGGTGATGGACCCGAACGAAGAAGTTCTGCATTGGATGGAAGTGCGACATCTCTTTCAGGCGGTGTACTCGATTCCTTGCGAGCACGTATGCATGCATCCATGACATGAACGGGCATTCATGGAAAATCAACGATAGGCACCTCCCCACATTGAGCGCGAAGAACGACTGGCGCAAGCGTTTCTTCGCCAAGTGTTTCTAGGAAGCCCCAGCAACGAGATTCCCGTGCCAACGACCGATGACGAGTTCTTCGCGTGCGCGGTGGCATTGTATCTGCATCGCAGTCAGCACGGTAAGGCGAACGACGGTGGATCCATGGTGGATGACAGGCATGAACAGACTGCCGTCCAAGCCAACCCATTCGGTTTCGATTTCACAACCTTGTTAATAGCTCGGACGAGCTTCTGAAGGTACAACTGATGGATCGCTTTTGTATGTGATGCTTCTGTAGGTCCCCCATGGCATCCATCGGATGTCGGCGTTCCGTCGGGCCTTCAACGTGCTTCGAAAAGCTGGGTTGTGCCATCTAGAAGGTACGCCCATACCCTGACGCGCCCGTGGTATACTGAGCTATGCGCGAAGATGCTGACAATGACGTGTACTGCTTTGTCACGTTTCCGGTGGCGCTGCAACCGTGGATCGTGGATCTCCTGAACAGTATACACGCACGCCACACGCAATTCACCCCTGAGACACCGCTCGAATCGTAGGTGAGGGTGATTCCTCTGTGTCGTATGTGGTCTCCAAGGTAGTTCAGCTAAAGCTCTTCCGCCATCTTCCTCTGGATTGGATCTCCGCTGGCATCGACGGCCTGTGCCATGCCCATGTCGTCGTGCGCTCAGGGTCTCGCATTTCGACGAATAAAAAACAATCCGGATAGTTTGTCCAACAACCGGATTGGAAATCAGAACGTTTTTGCTGCGTGAAAGGTCGCACACGTCGACGCGCAGCTTCTCCGAGAAGCGGCGGTGGTAAATGGCGAGCTCCAGTACAACGAGCCAAGGAGTCGTGCATCAGTTGCCCTCATGGGGACGACCCGTCGGAGGAGACACCGAGAAACTGGTACGTGAAACGGAGCGCACCACCGTGACTGACACGATTGCAGCGCCCGAGCCAACTTCTACACGACCTCACAGCCAAATCGTCCAAAACAATGCGCGGAACAACTCCCCACATTATTGAAGTACATGTATTTCATACGCTTGAAAATGGTCTCACGTGTCGTGTGATGCTTGTCCTTTCAGTTCACGAAACTCGAAGACCACACCACTCAAACCACGTCGACGGTGCCGATCGACCGACCTCTCTTCGAGCCCACGCCTGGAGCAATTCTATTTGACGAGTACATTCCATTCAATACGCATTATGCAAAGCTATCCCTTCGCAACAACGACTCGGTCGCGCGGCGGATCAAGATCCTTCCGCCAGACTCGCCTTTCTTCAAGATCAAAAAGTGTACCGCCCACGACAAAGACGGAAAAATTGCTGCAGGGATGGAGATTTCGTTTCAAATTGAATTTCTTCCACAAGAGCGCAAGGAGTACGCGCTCGATCTGGTGTGTTGCACAGAGCGCGAAAAGTTTCTCGTCCCGATTCGAGCGCGGGGGACATTTGCTGCGCTGTCCTTTCCCGACGAGATCGATTTTGGGTCTTGCCCGGTCAAGATCAAGTGCTCCAAGGTCATGACAGTCCATAACATCGGGACAAAAGGTGCCAAGTTTGTCTTTACAACGACGCCGCCCTTCAAGATCACGCCTCAAACGATGTACCTCGACATCGGAGCGGCGATTCAAATGGAGATTGAGTTTATCCCACAGCACACACGGGAGCGCGAAGGAGAGCTTGAGATCCGCGACGACAGCGGTCGTTGCTCGTACGTCAGACTAACGGGCGAAGTGACGAACCTCGAGGTGTACTTGAGCCATCCCATGGTCGAACCCAGCCCTGCCTACATCACGTTGAGCTCCCGCAAACGCATCAAAATTTGCAACGGGAGCGACCACCCCGTCGAGTTTACATGGAAGGCGTACGCAGGCCACAAAAACGAGCAGAGCGAGCGCGATCGGCTGCTGTCAGAGTTGCATCGCATGGAGCTGGCGGAAATGGACGACCTGCAAAAGTCCACGGGGCCCGAGGTCGATGCAGAACAGGTCGACGCGGTTGGGATCTTGCAGCGCAAGTACAAAAATTTGCGAAAAGCCGTCGTTGAAGACCCCATGCACTTCCTGGACGATTGTTTTCAAGTCGAGCCGGCAACTGGCAAGATTTGGGCCCACTCGGAAACGGAAATCACGGCTACGTTCAGTCCGCGAACGGCTGCGTTCTACTCGTGCACGGCGTTTCTGGACGTGTCGGGGCGAGACACGCGTCTGCCGCTGCAAATACGAGGCCAGGGCATCGGCCCCAAAGCGTCGATTCTATACGACGACCTGTTTGACTTTGGCGACGTCTTTATCAACGACCCGCAAACCCACGACTTTAGCATTCAAAATCGCGGCGAAATCCCGGCCGAGTTTGCGCTGCTCGACGTGGCGCTTCCCCACGGCGTCGACATTCACTTTGAGCCGAGTTCTGGAGTGTTGGGTATCAACGACACGTGCAAGATTTTCCTCACGTTCTGCTCGGCCGTCCTGGGCGAGATCAGCGTCAATTTCAACTTTAAACTGAACGGGTCGGACGAACTCCTCCGCGTGCGGTTCCGCGCACACGTGATTCCGCCCATGTTTCAGTTTGACACGGACAAGGTTGACTTTGGCATTGTCAGCTTTGCCTTTCTCCAAACAAAGTACGTAACGCTGTGCAACACGTCGCGAATTGCCATGGAGTACCAGCTCCGGATTCCCCAAGACGGCCTGTACAAACACAAGGAGTTCCAGTTGACGCCGTCCGAGGGGACGTTGGCGCCGTTTGGGAAGCAAGAAATCTGCATCGACTTTACGTCCGTCAACGTGAAGCAGTACGAGTACTTTCTCGTCGTCAGCGTCAAAGGCGTCGGGTCCGACTTGTTGAACGTCCCGGTGACCGCCCAGTGCTTTGTGCCAGAGGTACTCGTCGTCCGGTCCGAGCTTGTCTACGGCGACTGCTTCTTGCGTTACGCCCACTACCAAACGCTGAGTTTGACCAACATGAGTCCGTCCCTCCCAGCCAAGTACGACTTTGTCGACCAAGACGACCATTCGAAAGTCGTCGCGGCGTTCGTGCCAAACGAGCTCAGCGGTGTGATTCCACCCAACTCGACCAAGGATATTCAAGTGGCACTCATTTGTGAGAAACTCGGGAGTATTCGCCTCCCCATGCACGTGCGCATCGCCGGATCCATCGACTTGCCCCTGGCCGTGACCTTGAGCGCGCTGGGGAAAGGCCCTATCGTTGAAATCGACTGTGACTCGATTGAGTGGGGCAATTGCTCGTGCTTGGTCGACCATCCCAAGAGCATCGTTGTCGTCAACAAGAGCTTGATCCCTGCCTCGTTCAAGACGTTTATTCGGAACGCGCGCAGCAAGTTCGCCGTCGACAAGAAGGACTGCCTCCTCGCGCCAAACGAAAAGGTTCAACTCGTCGTGACGGCCAACCTGGACGACACGGTTGTGTTCAAGGAACAGCTCCACATCCTGGTCATGGAAGGCGCAAACATCTTGATCCCGCTGAGTGCACGCGGCACAGGGACTACGATGTGGGCGCCGACTAACATGAGCTTGATCGACTTTGAGTACCAAATGACCCACAAGCAGTGCGAGTGGAGCTGCACCTTGGAGAACAAGGGAAAACGAGGCCAAATTCTCACGTGGGTCAACAAAACTGTCAAGCAAGCGCAGCTCGAAATGCAGCAAAAGTTCAAAGCGCTGCAAAAGATCAACAGCAAGGCGAGCCTATCGAAGGAGAACGTGGACGGTCCGCTTCCAATTTTTACTGTGTTTCCGACCACGATCGAGCTCAAGCCGCGAACGGCGTGCACATTCTTCTTTCGAGGCTTCAGCAGCGCCCCCGGCTTGATCAAGGAAGAGCTTGTGTGTGAGACACGAATCGGGCAGGAAAAGAACCCAAAAGTCGCGTTTTCGACTGAGATTTGCGCCAACTTCATCAACCCCAAGATGGAGACGTCCCAGGCCACCGGCATGTCGTTCTCGTACGTGTATGCCCCGAACGTGGAAATTGAGACCCAGACACGACCGCTCGTCTTTACAAACGTGTGCGAACTACCGCTCACTTTTGTGCTCAAGACCCAAGTCCCGTTTGCCGTCGACATGTGGGAGGCGGTGCTTCAGCCCCAGGAGAGTGTTGCGCTGAACGTTGAGTTTTACCCTGGCTACAAAGATGACCACATCAGTCGCGCGATCAGCGGGAAGCTTGTCACGTCGTACTCGGGGCATCCCCAGAAAGACACCATCGACCTGAAAGGGGACATTTGCTTCCCCAACCTCGAGTTTGAGTACTCGCGAATTGATTTTGGGAGCATCTTGAACGACACGCAAAAGTCGCTGTCCGTGAAAGTGACCAATATCTCCAAGGTCCCGACGTCCTTTCACTGGGTCTTCATCGAAGACGAGAAGGAATCGCGCGCGATGGCGACGACCAAGCGTCCATACATCCCCATCAACCAGGTCTTTGACATTTTGCCGATTCGAGGTGTCCTCCAGCCACAAGAAACCGAGTCGGTCGAGTTCATCTTTTACGGCCATGCAAACCGAAAATTCAAAAGCATTGTCGCGTGCGAAGTTGAAGGTGGCCCCGAGTACGAGCTTACGCTGTCCGGGGAAGCATCGTCCGTGAGCTACCGGTTGGATCGCCCGTATATTGATTTTGGGCCAGTCGTGTACAACAAGACAGAAGACCGCGAGTTTTGCATCTTGAACTTGGGCAAAGTTGCATTTAGCTTCACTATCAGTTTGGACAAGCTCAGTCGACCAGGGATAGCCGAAGTCAGCCCGATGTCAGGACGAATTTTTGCCAACGACAAGCAGCGCATTTCCGTGCGCTTCCGCCCAGGTATTCCCGAAAACATGGTCGAGACGTTGTGGCTTGAAGTCGCGCACTTTCAGCCGGTTGAGTTCAAAATGTATTGCCATGGGATTTTTGCGTCTCTGTCGGCCAATTTGCCTCGAGGAAACCATCCAAATTGCTCTGTGAACGGCGTGCAGCCAAAATGGCGCGACTTGCTGAGGATAGCAAAAGACAACATCGAGCACCCCAACTTGGACGCCATTCCACCGACAGTCGCAACGTGCGAGACAACCACTCTTGGCCTAACGCGGCCCAACTCGAGAGCGCCGCCTCCGCTTCGAGCGAACACCAATTCGACAGGTGCCAACAACGGCATGAGCACGGACCGTGGCAGCATGTCGTCGCGCATGACGGGGCGGACCACGTCGAGGTTCACTGAGCGCGTCACCACGACAGCCCGCAGCACGACCAAAACACTGGCGGGGTCGCCGTCGAAGGAACACGTTTTCGATCCGTTGGCAAAAATGACGAGTTTCGATGAGCTCGATATCGACACGGAAGCGTGCCGCGTACTCTTCGTGCAGTATCTGCTCAAGTCAGGACCGGAAGTGGCAGCAATGGAAGAATCAACAGCGGCGGAAGAGCCCAAGGCACTGACAGTCCCGACACTTAGCATCGCCAAACCGGCGCTTCCCCTGCCTACGGTGACGCAAGAGTCAAAAAAATCCAAGAAACCCTCCATGGAGGACGGCGTCGAAGACATTGTGGCCAAAGCGACCAACACGGAGTTCATTCTCAGTCAGTACATTCTCGACTTTGGAAACGTCGTGTCGGGCACCCACCGCGTGAAAAAATTCCTGCTGACAAACACGGGCCAAGTCCCAACGAGTTTCCAGATCGACAAGAATCTCGCTCTTGCGCGTGGCTTTTCGATCGAACCCGAGCGCGTGGTGCGACTCTTGGAGAAAAAATCGATCGAGTTCACCGTCACGTTTCAAGCGCGGAAGAACGGTCGTCATGGAAGTCACGGCGCCAACATCTTTTTGGAAGTCAAGAACGGGCCGTGCAGCCTCCTCACGCTCAAGGCCAACGTCACCGTGCCAGATGTTGTGATCTCGCAGGACACGCTGGATTTCGGACAAGTGCTCGTCGGGCGCTCCCACGTTGTGTACACGCAATTCCACAATACGAGTCCGGTGGGGGTCGAGTGGAGTTTGAAGAAACCGATCGGGTCGTCGCGGGATCTGAGCTACTTTCGAATGGAGCCCCAAAGCGGGCTCCTTCACCCCGGCACCCGATGCAACGTTCGCATCGAGTTCATTCCGCTGGAAGGACGACTGTACCATGTCAAAGTTCCTGTCAAGATCAACGCAAATCCACGAACAAGAGCGATCAGTTGTTCCGGCGAAGGGACCGAGTTGCGTGTGACCTTCAGTCCGCCCATGGCGGAGCTGGGACCACTTCTGCCATTTGGCACACCAGTGGAAAAGTTGATCACGATGAAGAATGACTCGGACTATGCTATCGAGGTATACTCGTTGGACTTTGACCAGCAATACAAAGACGAAGAGGAGATCCTACGAAACGCTACGGGGTACTCGGACGATGACTTGCTTCGACTGCCCCTTCGCTTGCCAGGCGACTCGTTGCCGCCAGAATTACTCAACCAAGCTGATGCTGCCGACGGAGCTGGCGGGCCGACGGTGGCAATTGCCACGCGGCGGATGAAGCAAGAAGCCGCCGACTACATCATCCTCGGTCCACCATGCTGCGGGAAAACCACCCAGGCACAGCTGCTGGGTGAAAAGGAAAACTTTCCTGTGTGGACGATCGAACAAGCCGTACTAGCTGCAAGCGTTGAGGAGACGGACGTGGGCAAGACAGTTCGAAAAGCACTGAAGCTTCCGTTGATTCCGTGGGATATGCCCCCAGTCGAAACCCCACCGCCAGACGAACACGTGGACGTCCATGACAAGAAAAAGAAAAAGAAGGAAGACGAGCACGAGGTGGTCGTCGAGCCCCCGCCGCCCGTCGTGGAGGAAATAGTGTTGTTCACATGGGAACTGCTTCGAGATATCCTGGAACGGCGCATGGCGATGGACGATATGAGCAATGGCAGTGTCTTGGATGGGATGGAGAATCCGTACCTGCCTCCCACGGACACGTACAAAGCAATTGCGCAAGCTATGGAAGGTGCAACGATCTTGCTCTTTTCCTTTACGGAAGACTTGTACGAGCAGCTCGTCAGCGACATGATCAAATCGGTCAATGACAAACTCCATGACCTCGAGATGACGTCGGCGGCCGACGAGCTCCCTCCCGCCGTCACTAACAACGAAACACTCGACATTCTCGAGGAGGAAGTGGCCACGTCGCCGCCGTCTCCCGAGACTTCTCCTGACTCAGTCGCACCAGATGACGTTGGCGAAATCCAGCGCATCCACGGGATTCTCGACAAGTTGCATTTTCAACTCGAAAACGGAACGTTTGAAAAGTACACGCACGCCCAAGTTGCAATCATGGAGAAAATAAAGGCAAGCTTGCTGACACCGCCCGTCGACGACGAACCCGCCTTTTCCGACGCAGACCCGACACTCAGCACTTCGCGCAGTAACTTAAGTCAATTCTCGACAGATTTTGACGCAGTCCCTCCACCCACGACGACCACGTCATCCCCCTCGACTGCTCACGAACGTCCTCACGGTGGCGACGAACATGTGCCCCCGCTGGATGGCCAAGATGTGTCCGCCGCGGACACTCAGAAGACGAACCGTGTGTTAGTTCTGAATGAAGTCAGTTTCACCGAGTATGGCCCGCCACTTGTCATGCATGGCGCGCTGCATGCCGCCATTGAGAAATTCACCCGCGAATTGCAGTCGTCCCACTTGGTTGTGCCGCCTCCAGCGTCCTACCAGCTTGTAAAGAGACCGTACTACCGCAGTTCGAGGAAACCTGTCGTTCGATTTCAAATTGCGTCCGAGAAGATGCGTTGGATTTTGCCCCCGCGTGGCGAATGCTCGTTCTTCGTTCAGTTTTCCAGCAACGAAGTTGGCACGTACGACAACACGCTCGGGTTTGAAATCGTCGGCGGTCGACGGGAAGTCAGTTTGTTCTGTCGGGCTAGCTGCGCCGTACCCACCATCAACAGCGACCCGCGGAACGTGTTTATGAGTCGCGCCAAAGCCAAATCGGACGGAGGTATTGTCCAGAAAAAATACGTTCTGTCCAAATCGCAGTACGAATTCGGCCCGTTGCTCATTGGAAAGCCGCCGTCGTTGCGGGCGGAACCGGTCGGGTCCGATCCGTACAAAGCGGCCAAGGTCACAAACGCCGAGGTGTTTCGAATATCAAACGCGTCCAAATACACGTGCCAGCTCCACTTTGCGTTTGAAAAGGTCGTAGAACAGCCCGTGTTTTTCGTCGAGCCAGCGTCGGTGGACTTGCACGAGGGCGACACGGCCGAAGTCATCGTGTGGGCATTTCCAATCGCAAAAGGGCTGGTCGAAGACACGCTTGTGTGCTGCATCGTAGACAACCCCGACCCCGTCGTCTTTCCCGTGTCGTGCATTGGGTGTGTCCCTTCCTTACAGGTCACGGGTGTCCCCGTGGTGGGTGAGCCCCCCGAGAAAGTGATGGATTTCGACCGGCTCTTGCTCAACAGGCGCGAAGACAAGCAGTTCACTGTGGCAAACACGTCCGAGATTCCTGTAGCATGGAAACTTGGGCTCGGGAATAGCCCTGCTGAGTTTGAATTTGCACCAAAGGAAGGCGTGCTCAAGTCAAATCAACGCGCGACTGTTGGAGTCTCGTTCACGGCGTCCAAGGAAGGGCTGTTTGGGTTCCCAGTCGACGTCGAGTATTCGGACGCTGAGAACGGGTTCCATCCAAACCACATGGAGAAAGTTCAGATCAAGGCCGAAGCGTACAAGATCGACGTGTGTTCGTTCGAAGGGGACTCCGCAGTCGATAGCGAAAAAATGAACGGGATGCTGGACTTTGGTCTCATGCGAGTCGGCGATTCCGTCATGAAGAGTTTTCAATTGCGGAATCGCGGCAAGTACGACATCAAGGTGCTGCTCTCGATCAAGCGAAACAAGGAGCTGTTTCAAATCAAGCCGTTAGACGCGGTCATTGCGCCAGGCAAAGTGCAACCGATTGAAGTCACGTGTCGGAGCGAGTCGGAGATTGTCCTTCGCGACTGCAAAGATATCAAGTGCGTCATCATGGAAAATCTGACAGGGGAAGTGTACAACGAGTTTCCCGTCCTGTTGCATTGCCGCGTCGTGTTTAGCAAGTTCCGATTGCAACCGGCGCGGGGGCTGAGCTTTGGCTCGATGCGGTTCAACGAAGAAAAGAAGACGAAGCGCCTCGAGTTGCGCAACGACGGCGAGTTTACGTTCAAGTTCCGCGTTCAGCCGCACAGTGACGCCCCGTCGCCGCTGACGCTGGACACCCCCGTGGACCCGAAACCGCTACAACTGGGGCAATTTAGCATTTTTCCCAACTCTGGCACGTTGGATCCAGGTCGCATCATGGCATTTGATGTGGGGTTTCAGCCGTTGGGAGCAGCCGTCTTTCGAGAAATGTTTCGTTTGGACGTGAGTGGTCGCGACAGCGCCAATGAAACGGAATCGGCCGCGTTGACGTACGAGCTGAATGGCGAGAGCTGCTACCCTGGCATCAACACGACCGACATGGAGAGCATCTTTGAAGAGCAGGCGGTCATTCGTACGTTTGGTCTGGAATCGAATCAAGAATTCCGACCCCGCAACCAGCCCATCTTTGCCCAAGTCGAGAAACTGTTTGACTTTGGCGCGATCATTGTGTCCAAGAGCGTGATTGAACGATACAAAATCTCTAACCCGACCAAGGTCCTGGCGTCCGTCACCTTTTCCATCAAGGGGGACGCCGACGAGGCGCCGCCTACGTTCACCGTGCAGCCTAGTGTGTGGGACATTCCTCCGCATGAACACCGCTATGTCAATGTTCACTTTAAGCCGGTCGCGATGCGGATGTACCATGCCGTGTTTACAGCGTCAGTCGTGGATGGGGCGGACCCGGCATGCAGTCAGCTCCAGTTCGACGTGCGAGGGGAAGGCACGATGCCGTGTGTGACGATTGAAAAGCCGACGTTCCGAGAGGCGTCGGGGGTTCTCGCACTCGCGTTTGGCCGCGTGCGTGTGGGCAAGTCCAAGGACATGTCGCTTCTTGTGCGCAACGACGGAATTGTGCCAGCGACAGTGATGTTCAGCATGCCCACGAGCACCAACTTTTCGTTCCCGGACTCGCACAATTCGGTCACGATGGCCCCGAAGACGTCTCAAGCATTTGAAATCACATTCAAGCCACTCAAGGTCCACGAGGAGCTGTGTGTGGCCAACCTGAAGCTGAGCGTCCAGTACAACCAGTTTGAAGAAACCATTGTCAAATTGACGGGGCAGGGGTATCGGGAGTTCGTGGTTCTGGAAGACTTGAAAGACGAAGACGAGATGAACTTTGAAGACGTGGATTTGGACCACGTCCAGGCCAAGCCGGAGGAAAAGACGTTCAGTGTGGCGAATCACTCGACCGACATGGTGCGCTTTGCCTGGCCTATCCACACCAACGTCAAGTTCGTCCCAACGATCGGCCACCTCTTCCCCAAGTCCCAAAAACATATCCGTGTCACGTTTACCCCGACGCCAGCCACCCCTGCATATATCCAGGAACGGATGGCACTTCAGCTGCAGAAAATCAAGCGCGTGGACGCCACCGACTGGGACGACAGCATGAAAGTAGCATCGAATGACCAAGTCACGAGTGCGCCCGAGCCAACGTTCGAGCCCGACGGCGCGTTGAATCCGCTGTCGCTGCAAGTGTTTGCCGTGGCCGATCAAGCGCAGTATTCGTGCGACGTTGAAACGATCTTGTTCAAGAAAACGTTTATGTTTCAAGCGTGCTCGTACAAATTCACCCTGACGAATCCGTCCAAGATTCGATTGGGGTACTCGTGGAGCTGGCTATCGCTCACGACCGTCGACGAGATTCCGTTTTCAATTGCCCCCGAGAGCGGTGAAATCCCCGGCGGCGACGTGCAAGAGTTCATCGTTCGGTTCGCTCCAACCGAAGTACACGAGTTCTTGTTCAAGTTGACAGGCCACATGAAGAACGGAAAGGAGCACGTGATCCAAGTTCAAGGGATTTCGTTGCGGCCCGTGTGTCATGTGGACCTCGAGCAAAGCGATTATTCAGCGCGACGGGCGCTCAACTTGGTCGGTCCAAGCGGCGAACTCGGACCGCTCGATCCGTCTGTCCGTGTCGTCGAAATGGAATCGCTCGGGATTCGAGTTCGCAACACGAAGCGGTTTTACGTGATCAACCCGACCAACATCTCGTACGAGTTTGTGTGGATCCCCGAAGGCAACGTGAATCCGTGCTTTCGCTGCGCCACGCCAAAGGGGCTCATGTTGGCCGGGAAGCGATGCGAAATGGTATTTGAGTTCACCCCGCAGCAGATGGACCTCCAAGAAATGTTTTGGCGTTTGAAGATTCCACAATTTCAAGTCGACCAGTTGTTTCTGTTCGTGGGCACGACATCCGAGCCACGTGTGCTTTTTGATCGAGGTGGCGTCAATTTTAGCACGCTACTGCTGGGGAGCAGGGCCGTCCACAGCGTGCACCTGATCAACGACGAGCACCTTCCGTTCAACTTTGCCTTTGACAAAGTTAGCTTCTTGGGCGAGAAGCCCGTCGTGAGCTTAACGCCACTGTCCGGTGTTGTCCCGCCCAACAGTCGATGTCCTGTCGAAATCGAGTTTGCCCCGGTCGAAGAGAAGCAGTACAACTTTAACATCAACTGCCACATCAAGCGCAAACCCAGCCGACTAAGCTTGAACATTAAGGGTGAAGGGTACGCAATTCACGACTTTGTCGTCCTTCAAGAGGACGAGGGCTCGTACAGCGCTGCGCCGATTGAGCCCAACACGGTGCAGCTCCTGGACTTTGGTATTGTTCGCGTCAACGAGAAACTGCGCAAGTCGCTCGTGATTTCGAACGCAGGCAAGTTCAACTTTGAATTCAACGTGAACTGGGCATCGGGAACGCATCCGATGGTGACGATTGAACCGATGCATGGCACGGTGCGGAAGAACGACAAAGTTAAGTGCAACATTACGTTTTCGCCAACGCTCGAGACGTCGTTGGATTCGTTGCAGCTTGTGTGCACGACGGCCGGGTCCCGAGAGTACATTTTCAAGCTCCACGGGAGTTCCGTCCCACCGGCGGTCGAGTTTTCGTTCGTGTCGCATGACTTTGGCGCTTGTTTTATCGCTGAACCCGACGCGGTGCCGATTGTAGAAACCATTGTGCTGCGCATTGCCAACCAAGACGCCGACATGGACATCAGCATCGACTGCTCGTTTGAGAAGCGGTCGCATTTGCGGGTGCAAGTTCAGCCGACGGTCCTGGGGCCGCACGACGTTGTCGAAGTGCCCATCACGTTCATTGCACGGACCGAAGGCAATTACGAGGAAGTAATCCCGTTTACCATCAACGGCACCACCGTCGTCAACGTCACCATCAAAGGCGAGGGAATTTACCCCAAGGTGGAACTGGTCGGAAACGTCCAGCAAGTGGTCAACTTTGGCACGCTCCAAATTGGACAGTCGCTGTCACGCTTTATCAAGCTGCTGAACCGATCCAAGCGCAAGACGTCCGTGGAGCTCATGTCGCCAAACCCGGACATCACCATCTTCCCGCAGCACGACATTCAACTGAAGCCGCGTGAATCCGTCGACGTCGAACTCCGTTTTGCCCCCACCCGGCGCATTCAGTCGTTTCAAGAAGAATTGTCGATGGAAATTGCTGGCACGCGCAAGAAATTGCTCGTCATGACGGGGTGGTGCCAAGGCATGGACGTGCAACTCGAGACAGAAACGCTTGGGTTCGGGTCAGTCGTGTTTGGGTCCCAACTCGTTCGCAAGGTGCTGCTGCAGAACCGAGGCGACCTCGTCGCCAAGTTCATGTGGGACTTGAAGCGGTTCGGCGCGGATTTTACGATATCGCCAACCGAAGGCATGATCTTGCCCAACCAAGACAAGCAATTCGAGGTTACGTTCCGTCCGCAAAAGATAAACGATGACATTCGCCATGACAAGATCCCGTGCGCCATCGAGGGCGGCGACTTTGTCACGCTGACGCTGACAGGGTCTTGCGTTGCCATGGTCGAGTCCGCAATGAAGGAGCTCGTGTTCGAGTCAAAGGTGCGAAAGGAAACGACAAAAGAGATCGTGATTGAAAACAAGACGAACCAACCGTGGAATTTAATCCCCGTTGTGACGGGAGAGCACTGGCATTGCATGGAGAATGTCGCTGTGCCGGCGGGAGGAAAGGCCACGCTTCCTGTCACGTACTGTCCTCTCACCATGACCCAGCTCGCAACGGACCCTCGAGAACGACCGAAGCGGCACACGGGCGGCATCTTCTTTGCCATCCCGGACGGATCTGCGATCAATTACAACTTGGTTGGCACAGCGTCCGAGCCGGAAGCGATGGACACAGTCCAAGTCAAGACTCCCGCGAAGAAGTCTTTGCCGATGAAGCTCCCGATCAAGAACTGGCTCAAGTGTGCACAGGTCTTCGAAGTGCGGATCGAAAACACCCATAAATCGACGTTTGTCCAAGGCGCCGACACGATCACCGTTCCACCCAATTCGCAGCGAGACTACGGACTCAAAGTGTATGCGTACACTGAGGGCCCGAACGAGTTCAAGATCACGTTCACCAACCCTGAGAACGGCGAGTACTTGTTCTACTTTGTGCACGTGGATGTGACCGCGCCGGGTGTGATCGACACGCTCGTGTTCCATGCCCCAGTACGGCAAACCGTCAAGAAACTCATCACGATCGAGAATCCGTTCCCGGAGTCGACCGTGATTCAATTCGATGAAGGAACGAAGTGGTGGCGATGTTCGTCGCCGTGTGTGCGTGTGCGGCGGTTGGGCGAGCTCACGGCCCGCACAGAGGGGGCATTCGAGGTCGAGTACAGGCCGCTGTTGCACGGCGAGCCGACCGAAGTGGACTTGACTATTTCGTGCCAACCGTTGGGTGACTACAACTACAAGCTTCACTTGAGCACGTCGCCCGCAGGGATTGATCGAATTTTGTACTTTCACGTTCCGTTGGGTGGATGCCAAACCCAAGCGTTCCGCTTCCAGTCGTTCGTGTCCAAGCCATGCGACTTCAAGTGCCTCGTGCACCAGCCAACGTTTTTCAACGTGAGCCCGACGGTCAAAGTGGACGCGTCCGACTGGGACGGCGCCGAGTGCACCATCTCGATCAAATTTGAGCCTGAAGCGCTAGGCGAGATTCGTGACACGTTGGTGTTGACATCTGACCACGGAGGCGAGTACAAATGCACGTTGCAGGGTCAAAGTGTGCCCCCCCTGCCCCAGGGACCGTTTGTGTTTGCCACGACCAAGGAAATCGAGTTCAAGAACGTTTTCAACGCAGCCAGGGAGTTTGTTTTCACCATGGACAACCCGGCATTCAGCGTCAACACGAAACAAGCGACAATTGGCCCCAAGTCCGTCAAATCCGTGGTCGTCAAGGTCGAGGACCAGTCTGCGCCAAAGCCCCTCGTCGGGAAATTACTCGTGACATGTCCCGCGCTCGTCGACTTGCCCCCATGGGTGTACTACCTCGAGGCGGACACCTCGGACAGCAAAAAATAGACCTCCAGCCTGTAAATTATGTAT